CTTTTCCGCGATCCCTGGCTTCCGCCAATCGGCGTTCTGACCTCCACAGAGTCAGGGCGACTCAGAGAATCAATTCGCGCTGCTGTGCAGGTTACTGAAGAAGCCACAGGAAGCCGGGCGTGGCGGGGGGCCCGGGATCCCAGCCCTCGGGAGGCTGAGGCAGGAAGGTCCCAAGTTCAAGCCCAGCTTTGGCAACTCCAAGATTCAGAGAGACTTTGTCTCGGAAGTACAACACAACGCAGGGCCGGGGCGGAGCGCAGCGCCACAGCCCTGGGCTCGCCATCCAGCACCTTAGGCACATCAAGGGATAGAACTTTCTAGGGCAGGTTGCTGGAATCAGGCGTCGGTGGCCGTGGGCTGGCCTCAACGCCGCTGGAATCGTGGTCTAGACAAGCTTTTCCGCCTGCTCTTCGACACGCTTATGTAAACCTTGATCCAGTGAAGTAACAGCAGTGAGTTGTGCCCTAAGGGAACCCAGCGGGATTGTCAGGGGCTTTATCAGCACACTTACAGTATTTATAAATAATTTTCTAGGGGTTATTTTTTCTGCCTTTATTGTTGCTGGACTCTCCTGGGATTGAAGAAACGGGCGAAAGCAAACTTCCCTGCATTGGCAGGGCCTGCAGGAGAGCTGGACGCTGTGTGGACTCACTCAGGAATGCTATAAACCGCACCCACACGGGGCAGCTCACCACGCCTGGCAAAGAGAACCGGTTAGTCCTGATGCTGCAGAATGAGCCCAAAAACTACTCTGGAGCCAAATGGTCATTCAGTCAATGAAATCTGATAAGATTTTGGGGAAGCCCAACCGACCCAAGGCGTTGTCTACAGATGAACAGCAAATGACATGTGTGACACACAGCAGGGAATACTATACAGCCATAAAAAATACCAAGGCCCTGTCATTTGCCACAAGTGGGGCATAACTGAAGGACATCCTATTAGATACAATCATCCAGGCACACAAAGGTAAATACCACGCTCATCTCTGCTCTAGGCAGGCAAGCGGGATACTCTGTACAGCATTTTTGGCTAAAATGTTGGCAATCCAGGGGCTGGAGGGGTTGGGATGCGGCAGTCTTGGGACACTTCTCATAACAGAAGGCACGGTGGACGGCTGGGACACAGTTCCCCTCGAGGCAGGAAGTCCACATGGCTTCTCACGGCCTTTTATTCTCCTGTGGACTGAACTCTATGTCACTGTGTCTGTCACAACAGTGTCCCCCGCTGCCACAACAGGGCGGGGCTTACGGAGACCGAGTCAGTCCCAGGGAGGAGCAGCCGGGATCTCGCTGAGCTGCAGGAGTAGAGCTCGGACTTGCAGCCGTCCTGCCTCAGCCTCCGGGGTGCTGGGCTCAGACACACACACACACACTCACACACCATTTCATAACACATAATTCTCTCTCAACGGCACTTCTTGGTTTAATCCAGATTTTATCACTTATTAGCAACCCATTAAAAAATTAGCTCGGTGGAAAGAAATTCCAATCCGCTGCTCATCTCTTTATTGCTTATTATTGTCTTCAGAAATTAAAAAAAAAAAATGGTAGTCTCGTCAGCAGCACACACGCTACAACTGGAAGAACACAGAGGTTAGCACGGGCCCTGCACAAGGATGACACGCAAAAGCGTGAAGCCTTCCAAATGTTTCTGCTCCAAAAATTAATTAATTAATTAATTAATTCAATGCAAAGCAAAATGCAGAGAAGACACT